TTTTGTTCCCCATGGACCCTGTGTGTGTTGTAAAGTAGCCACCACTCCAAGCTTGCTCCTGTGATGGACTACAATCTACATTTGTGTTAATAATAATTAAGGTACTCGAATGCATTTTTAAGGTTTAAATCCTGAGTTTAGTGTCACTTTAAGAGATTTCTAGGTTGTACTGCTCAAGACTGAGTCTGTAGCGTTTATAATGTCCTTTCCCCACAGCTCTATCATGTGTAAAATTGAAATAGAACAATTTGTATAAAGTTTTATTATGCCAAAACAAAAGGCATATACAGGAATATTACACTAATATATACAAAATTGGTCTGCACCAGTAAACAAAGTGAAGTGAAAGCTATTAGACACTGTAATAATAACCAATATAATGCAAACAAATCGACAGTATTGTGCCGAGCTGATTATAAATGTGAACCTATGTATATGTGTGATTACACTAATCAAATAGATATGACAATATCAGTGCATGAGCCCTAAGAGTCACGTGCCAGGCTCTGGGCATCCAGATAACCTACAAATATGATAGAGAAGTCCAATAAGTAAAGTAATAAAAATCAGAGTCCAAATGTGAAAAAGTTCTGAAAGTGACGGAAAAAAACAAGAAAAATCCACAGATGATTGTCAGTCTTTAGGAGATATCTGAAGGGCCACATCCAAGAGGTTATGCCAATCCTACATTAGCCACACCTGGCGAGTACAAGTGTACAGAGGGGTGCTCATCTGAGATGTAGACCCACACAATAGATCTCTAAATGCGATTCCCTTCTTTGAAAGGGGAGGGAATCCCTTAATGCGATATCACTGGATCGCCTCAGAGCGGCACACAGGGTTACCCAAAAAGAGACAAACAAAGGCCAAGTCACGCAAGACGTAATGCGCGTAGGGCGTCCTTCCAGCTCGGCTAGAAAGATGATGTCATCTTTCTAGACGAGCTGGAAGGACGGGAGCGTTTTCATCTGTTCGTTATTGTGGGCATCCCTTTGGGATTGTCTATGCCTAATATCATTGCTATTATGCGAGTACCATTTTATCTAATACATTTTCTTTTGCTGGATGGTGCGCATTGTGTCTTTGCTTGTCTCTTTTTTGGGTCTAGTAACCCCTGTGTGCCGGTCCGAGTGGATCCAATGGTATTGCATTAAGGGATTCCCTCCCCTTTCAAAGAAGGGAATCGCGTTTAGAGACTTATTGTGTGGGTCTACATCTAAGGTGAGCACCCCTCTGTACACTTGTACTCACCGGGTGAGGCTGGTGTAGGATTGGAATAACATCTTGGCTGTGGCCCTTCAGATATGTCCTAAGATTGATGATCACCTGTGGATTTTTCTTGTTTTTTTTCCATCACTTTCAGGACTTTTTCACATTTGGACTCTGATTTTTATTACTTTACTTATTGGACCTATCTATCACATTGTATGCCCAGAGCCTGGCACGTGACTGCACTGATATTGTCATATCTATTTGTTTAGTGTGTTCAGATATACTGTGTGTATGTATATATGTGTATATATATATATATATATATACACACACACACACACACACACACACACACACACACAGTATAAGTTCACGTTTATTAGCTCAGCACATTACTGTCTATAGGAATATTATGCTGGCTTGGGAATTGCCACTACATGGTGCTCAATGAACATGGGCACTCTTGAGATGCATACCTTATACTTTTTTTTTAATGAAACCTAAAAACCAGACGTACTTATGGCCTTACTAATCATAAACAAAGAAAATTTCACCGAAAACATTTTACAGGGGAGTGGGAGCAAAAGTTATCCTACCAAAGGGTCTCGAGTCTTTTGGGTTGCTGTGGGTAGCAATGCCACTTCTCCTTTCCAGTATTTTATGCATATTGGGTAAAACAGTACCAAGAGAAATGATCAGAATTCATCTTTTATATTAAAGTGTGATTAGTTATGAGTTACTGCTCCTGTTGGTTGCTTTTTCATCTTCCTGGACATCCAGTAGTCAGAATATTTCCGTGTTATTACCTGGAAGTATGCCATGAATGGTCTATCTATTACAGCCTTGTCTCTGGTTGTAATCCGTTTGCTTCTAAGTCATGCTTGCTGTGTTCATTTTCAATGATGTATATGGAGTTATCTGTGTTGGTTTGTTTCTTCCTCATGAATACGGCAAACTGGTAGAGAACAGCGCCTACAACAAAGGTGAGGACGGTGGAATATTTTAACAATACACATTCACAGTGTGTTTTTAATACAGTGTTAAATTTATTATTGTACTCTAAAGATCATCTAATGAAAATACTAATGTTGATTTGGGTGCATGAAAAGGGGCTCATGCACTGTTAGGAAAAATGTATTTGTAATATGAATAATTTTTAGGATTGCACTTTATCAATAGACAAATTATACTATGTTCTATTTAAAATGAAGGATCTTCTGAGTTAATGGAGCACATGAGGACTAAGATGTGACATCCATTCAGTCTCCTAATCCAAGTTGAAATATTAGCCCTTGTGTGCCTTGCATAGTTGTTATGAAATGGCCTGCTGTGCCAAGAGATCTTCATGTTGGTTGCATTGGTCATACTATTTGGCAATAGTGTTGAGCAATAGGTGTGGGGTAAAGTGCCACTCAAGCAAAATAAGTTTTCTTTGCTTGAAATACTTGGCAAGACTTAAAACCTCTGCCAGGTTTTTATTGCCTTTCTGTCCCAATGACCAGGAAGGTCCCAGTGACAGAGAGCAGAATCTCTGTCAGATTGCCTTACCTTCCTGTCCCAGTGACTGTAGTCATGCAGGCAGGAAGTGAGTGGAAAACTCTACAGGGAGCAACAGTTACTGCTCCTTCCCCCAAATCTGACCAGGTTTTTAATGCTGATCACATCCCTATTTGGGGGACTTTCTTCAATTCCTGTCCCTCAAAAAAAGAGTGCTCATTGGAACAGGAAATATGTGAGGTGGGGACCCAGACACACACAAAAAAAAGCTGATAAAAGTTCTTACCCTTTCCAAATCTATGAGAAAAGGTTTTGGCTTGAGTTATATTTTGGGCTGGAGAATAGTTACACCATGGAGCTAAGTTATAAAAAGTGAACACAAAAATTGCATAGTAGGCCATCACAACCAAATTAATAATAGTTTTCATGATGTAAACATGGATTCCCATCCTCCACCTATATCTCCAGCCAAAATGTTTTAATTTCTTACAATGTTTCTCCTCTTTGGGAACCTCTTTTGGGAAGATGGAAGATTTTGGGAAGATGTCACAGCAGGAAAACAAACAAGGAGTCCATGAGAGAGACCGATGGCAAACAAATGCTGCTTTATATTTTTATGTACACACCGCCTGGCCATAACATTATGACCAATGAGAGGTGAAGTGAAGAACATTTATTATCTTGTTACACTGGCACCTGGAAGTTGGTGGGATGTATTAGGCAGCAAGTGAACATTTTGTCCTGAAGTTGATGTGTTAAAGCAGCACAAAATGGGCAAGTGTAAGCGACTTTGACAAAGGCCAAATCTCTTGTGGGATGTTCCCGGTCATCAGGACCTACAAAAAGTGGTCCAAGGAAGGAAAACCGGTGAACCGGCAACAGGGTCATGGGTGGCTAAGGCTCATTGATGCATGTGGGGAGCGAAGGCTGGCCGTATAGTCCGATCCAATCGAAGAGCTACTGTAGCTCAGATTGCTGAAAAAAATGAATGCTGGTTCCAACAGAAAGGTGACTGAACACACAGTGCATCAGAGTTTGTTGTGTATGGGGCTGCGGAGCTGCAGACCGGTCAGGGTGCCCATGGTGACCTGTGTTCACTGCCATAAGCACCTACAATGGGCACGTGAGCATCAAAACTGGACCACGGAGCAATGGAAGAAGGTGGCCTGGTCTGATGAATGGCATTTTCTTTTACATCATGTGAATGGCTGGGTGTGTGTCACTTACCTGGGGAAGAGATGGCACCGGGATGCACTATGGGAAGAAGGCGAGGCAGGGTGATGCTTTGGGCAATGTTGTGCTGGGAAACCTTGGGTCCTGCCATTCATGTGGATGTTACTTTGACACGAACCACCTACCTAAACATTGTTGCTGACCAAGTACATCCCTTCATGGAAACAGTATTCCCTGATGGCATTGGTCTCTTTCAGCAGGATAATGTGCCCTGTTTTGGCAGCAAAAGAGGGACCTACTCAATATTAGGCAGCTGGTCATAATGTTATGGCCGAGCGTGTATTGTCCCAGGGGTAGCCACCGCACTCTATATGTAATGTAAATGCCTGGTTGCTCATCCACAAAAATATCCATACAAATCCAAAGTAGGAATAGAGGCACTCATGGGTCTTGCAGCACAGATAAGTCAAAGCATTTTATTGCCAATGTTTCAATGGAGCTCAGTCCATCTGTATCAATTTTATATAGAGTAGGGTGAATGCTGATTTCTCTCCCCATCTGGGCCCCTGTTGGTGATTTTCCTCCAAATCTCCCTAAGAAATCCACAGATAACAAAAAGATAAAACCTGAGAGAGGGTCTAACACTTTCCTACTCTAGAAAAAGCTAAGAAAGAAGTTAAGGCTGCTGAATGTAACCTGTAACTGCAGATTTGGTGAATTGACCCTGCATGCATCTTCCCATACTCCCCAGCCCCCTTGTACTTAATATTCCTGAAGTACAAGTCCTGAAGGGAGCCCACTTGTACTTCATATTCCTGATCAAGGGAGACATGCACTTTGCATTCTCTGTATATTCTGTATGGAGCTTCACATACAAACTTGTACATGGATGGAGTAAGTGGAGGGTCCAGAGAACATTCTCAGACCAGGCTGTGACCATTTCCACAAGCAGCTCTACACTCTACTAAGCAATATCTCCCTGGATTGAGGACCGCTGGGCATAGGACTGGGAGGGGATGGTCAGTGTACTGTGATTTACTGTAAGTATACCTGTACCACATCTGGTAGGCATCTTAGCCAGGCAGTTGAAAATCCAAGTTAGGTGCCAGTAGCACCTTTTATCCTTGAAGTAATATGAATATATACTTACTCAGTACTATAGTGAGGAACACTACTCCTATGACAATTGCCAGGACCTCAGCGTCTGTTAGACTAGACGTGCGGATACAAATAGATTTGTCTGTCTCCATTTTAGCAGTTCCAATTTCAGGAACGGAGTCCTGTTCAGTAAAGGAAGGTCTCGGAGGTATGGTTGTGTGATGCGTTATTCTGTTTGTCCCTGTAGTAACTGGTTCAGTGCCGTTATCTGTGGGACTTTGCACAGTAGTTGGACCCAAACTATCCCATTCAGGGTCCAGATGTTCAGTTGAAAAGTTGTATCTTTCTGTTGTAGTGGGATAGCTGTCTGTTACAGTCAGTGTTGAATTGGGGGAGGAGTCTCCTGAGTCAGTAGGGAAATCGGTGAAGTTAAATGAAGTTGTCTCCTCAAATAAACCCCCTTCAATTCCACTTGTCTCTGGAGGGCTTCTGAGATTGTAAGTCCTGCTTTCATCATTTCTTGCCTGCGGTGCGGAAGCTGAAGATCCACGGGTTGTATAGGTGGTAGACTTGTCAGTAAGTAAGAGGAATATATCTGCTGCAGTGTTACTCAGCCAAAATCCAATAGCTCCCAGTAAAGCTGCAAGTTAAAAATCACACAATGAATAATATGATTTACAGTCACATGTACATCCATAAGACATGGCAAGAATAAAAGTCCTGGACTTCATGGCTGAATGACAGGAGGAAGCACAATTCTTGGTGTTCGGGTCATGGATGCTGTGAGCAACAAGAATAATTCCTCGTTCGTGTCATGGGAAGGCAAAACAAAGTATGGCTTTCTATAAACCAGTTGTGAAAAAAGTGATGAGCAAAGTGCATCACAATGTATGTCAACAACGCACATTGACGTGTATTTTAAGCCCTTTCCATTTATTTCAATGGGAAATTCATGAAGCAAAAAATGTAAATGTGTGAATGGGCCCCAAGACATATGAGACATTACGGGGTGGTTTGAACTGCTGCCATGTACCTTGAGCTAACATCCATTCATTACATGTGAGCAGACCAATTCTCGGGCTTGATGATATGGAATAAGGTGTTCTGAAATAACAGTGCCCATAGACATGCAATGCCCATAGACATGCACCCTGCCTGGCCAGATCGAACAAGGATCTCATGTTTATGGGTACTTGCAGACACCATAGGCTAATGCTTGAGGGCATAACAATTACATCAACAATGAGAAAAACGTGTGCAGTCAGTGTTGTTTTCCCACAAGACAGTCCCCCAACAAAAAGATGTAAAATCTTAACCGCATACAAAGCCATCCACAACTGTGCCCCAAGCTTCATCACCAACCTCATCTAAAAATATTACCCAAATTGTCCTCTTTGCTCCTCCCAGAACCTCCTGCTCTCTCTTCACCTTCTTCCATGTACACCTCCGGGACAGCGCTTCTCCCTTACTCTGGAACTCCCTACCCCAATCTGTCTTGCTATGTCCTGCTTTGTCCATCTTTAGGCAATTCTTGGAAGCTCATCTCTACAGGAAAGCCTATCCCACCTCCACATAATCGGTGAATTTTTACTGCCCACATCAATTGAATCCGTAGGTTCTTGTGGCAGGAATCTCATAACAATCTCTGCTCTCTTTACCCTTGCATTCATATGACTTGTTGGTACCTATCCACTTGGCCTGATCCACATAACAGTCTTTGACTATGGTACTGTCACTGTTTAGCCAACATAGAAAAGGTCAGTACTAGGGAAGCACTGAAATTGAATTTTGAGACCAAAACAAACAAAAAAAATTTGTCAGACCGAAACCAAAAATTAAGTTTGTTTTTTTTCCAACCTTTTAAAAAAAAATTAAATTATATTTTAATTATTTTTTTTAGTTTACTGCTGGGGGCTCTAAGGAAATGTCAGGGGTCTAAACAGAATAAATGAACAGGAAGCCTCTATACTGAGTGTTGCTGTCCATTCATACATTGTGGCTTTAGTTTGAGTTACAATCAAACTAATCACGAATGAACAGGAAGTGATGTAGATCACTTCCCATTCATTCATAAATGGGACGTAGTAAGCACGCCCTGTCCAGTTATTGACAAACACTCAGTGATCAGCTGATCGCTGAGTTTGTATACTGCTCTCCAGCCTGAATCGGCTGTCACAGGAGGCCAAGTGAGTGGTGGGGGTGGAGAGCTCTGCCTCCTCTGGTAGATCACGGCACTCTCCTCCACTCACCGCTCTACATCCTGACACATTAGGTGGAGCTGGGAGGTGTGGGAGGAGAGTTCCGCCTTCTGTCACAGATCACAGCGCTCTCCTCCACTCACCACTCTTCATCCTGACACAGGAGGTGGAGGTGCGGGAGGAGAACTCTGCCTCCTGTAACGATGACAGCTGTCACCACCCCGCACCTTCCTGACCGCTGTCATTGCCCGCTCAGCCTCCTGAAAGCTTCTTTCCTCCCCGCTGGGTGCTGACCACTGCATCAGAAGGCACACAGACCAGCGCCCAGCAGGGAAGCTAGGGATACACTGAATCACTGAATTTTTGTCTGTCATGATACTTTCTGCATTTTGCGGCTGAAATTTTGGTGCACCCCTAGGAAGTACACTAAAAACTGGTGAGTAAAGGCAAAGCCAAGATTACAGGGAACTGACACTAGAACAAATATCTAGGTTCCCATTGCTGACCTCCTTCTAAAAACAATAGTTACCTTGTCCTTCTGGCTTCAATCCTTTCTGAGTCACAGACCCAAAACCACCACACTGCATGTGACATCAGAACACTTGATCTGCAGACATGTCCAGATCAGTGATTCTGAATATTCTGAAGCCATTGACAGCCGAGGAAATAGCATTTTCGAAAGACGGAACGGCAATAGCAGGTGACATATTTTCCTTAGCTCAGGTTTCCTTTAAAGCTTGTAACAATAAATTGTAATCAGTTTTCTAAGTCACCGGATATTAACCAGTATCTGGGTCATGGAAAAACATTCCAAGGAATCCCTGATATGAAAGCCTTGGGCTACATCTGTGTCCGATCGCATCTAAAGTACTAATATATATCAGGTCTGGTTTACTGGGCAATAGGACTGTTTTGGTGTTTTGTTTTTGGTTAATGATTTGTTTGGACACGCACATTTCCATATACATTCTCCCATCACTGATATGTACATGACGTCACTGACATCCACATTGAAATGATGCAGATTACCAGCTCGGCGTGGAATCATGTGATGATGTTAGTGTAGATCATAGATCATAGAATCATGTGATGTTAGTATAGATCATAAATCATAGAATCATGTGATGTTAGTATAGATCATAAATCATAGAATCATGTGATGTTAGTATAGATCATAAATCATAGAATCATGTGATGTTAGTATAGATCATAAATCATAGAATCATGTGATGTTAGTATAGATCATAAATCATAGAATCATGTGATGTTAGTATAGATCATAAATCATAGAATCATGTGATGTTAGTATAGATCATAAATCATAGAATCATGTGATGTTAGTATAGATCATAAATCATAGAATCATGTGATGTTAGTATAGATCATAAATCATAGAATCATGTGATGTTAGTATAGATCATAAATCATAGAATCATGTGATGTTAGTATAGATCATAAATCATAGAATCATGTGATGTTAGTATAGATCATAAATCATAGAATCATGTGATGTTAGTATAGATCATAAATCATAGAATCATGTGATGTTAGTATAGATCATAAATCATAGAATCATGTGATGTTAGTATAGATCATAAATCATAGAATCATGTGATGTTAGTATAGATCATAAATCATAGAATCATGTGATGTTAGTATAGATCATAAATCATAGAATCATGTGATGTTAGTATAGATCATAAATCATAGAATCATGTGATGTTAGTATAGATCATAAATCATAGAATCATGTGATGTTAGTATAGATCATAAATCATAGAATCATGTGATGTTAGTATAGATCATAAATCATAGAATCATGTGATGTTAGTATAGATCATAAATCATAGAATCATGTGATGTTAGTATAGATCATAAATCATAGAATCATGTGATGTTAGTATAGATCATAAATCATAGAATCATGTGATGTTAGTATAGATCATAAATCATAGAATCATGTGATGTTAGTATAGATCATAAATCATAGAATCATGTGATGTTAGTATAGATCATAAATCATAGAATCATGTGATGTTAGTATAGATCATAAATCATAGAATCATGTGATGTTAGTATAGATCATAAATCATAGAATCATGTGATGTTAGTATAGATCATAAATCATAGAATCATGTGATGTTAGTATAGATCATAAATCATAGAATCATGTGATGTTAGTATAGATCATAAATCATAGAATCATGTGATGTTAGTATAGATCATAAATCATAGAATCATGTGATGTTAGTATAGATCATAAATCATAGAATCATGTGATGTTAGTATAGATCATAAATCATAGAATCATGTGATGTTAGTATAGATCATAAATCATAGAATCATGTGATGTTAGTATAGATCATAAATCATAGAATCATGTGATGTTAGTATAGATCATAAATCATAGAATCATGTGATGTTAGTATAGATCATAAATCATAGAATCATGTGATGTTAGTATAGATCATAAATCATAGAATCATGTGATGTTAGTATAGATCATAAATCATAGAATCATGTGATGTTAGTATAGATCATAAATCATAGAATCATGTGATGTTAGTATAGATCATAAATCATAGAATCATGTGATGTTAGTATAGATCATAAATCATAGAATCATGTGATGTTAGTATAGATCATAAATCATAGAATCATGTGATGTTAGTGTAGATCATAGAATCATGTGATGTTAGTGAGTCTTAACAATCCCCAACAGGAAAAGCTCTTGTGTGACATCAGTGTAAATCCAGTCTGAGATTGTCATCAATCAGATTATACATCGTTATGCTCGATGTTACTGGGAAACAGGCCTTTCAGTCACTGGCTATGAAGACTTTGCAACCCACCAACTGGTTTTAGCACTTATCTGCTAGATGCGTCGTTATGAATATCACCTTTGGCTTCCACGGATGGGCTTCCATGGGTCAGAGACCAATAGGTAGACAACACATCATTTACTGCAGGGCTGGCATCCGTCCTTATACTTGGCTTACGTTGTCACATGCACACTACTTTGATCCTTTCCTTTATAGAAGGACCTTTCCCTGCTCAGGAGAAGTAGAGACAATCTCCATGTGTGACAATGGCTTATTTCCCCCTAAGGAGGGTTACATTTTTTGATATATACTGTAAACAAATGTTTGTCATTATTTACCCCACAACCACCGTTAATTTTAAAAGGACACCTTTCATTTTCCAAGTCAGGAATACATCTGTTTGGTGGTCATGGAGAAATAGTGATACACTTACAGGGTTATTCACAAAAGGGTGAAGAGTTTGGAGAAGGCAGGAGAAGTGAACAATCTAAGACAACATAGCTGATTTGGAAACATTCTCCAATTCAGCTCACTTTCCAGTTCAGCTATGTTGTCCTAGATTGTTCCCTTCTCCTGCATTCCCCAAACCCTTCACCCTTTTGTTAATAGCCCTGTTAGTG